TATCAATAGATGCAGTCTCCTAAATTATGAGAAAACTCAGAGAGGAGAATCCTGACATGGACCATAAATAAAGAGCAGAACTGAGATCAGAAACCACTTTTCACTGACCCGAGATCCGAAGTGACCAGACACCCTAAAAGGTTTTGCGTCTTGCCTCTTGTTGTGTCCCCTTTGGGGTTTTCTTGGCAAAGATACTGGAGTGTTGGGGATCTGTAAGGATGTAGAGGGCCACAGGCTGTTCACGAGGTCTCACTGATGGGTGGAGGCCCCTCTCGGGTGATTGATCTGTGAGCAAAGGCTGCCTGGTTCGGTGCTCCATTCTATGCATCTCTAACTTCCCTAGTTACTCATTAGTCATTAACAGTGTATTTGTGATTGGTGGTAGGTAAGTGCACAGACTGTGCATGCACTGTCCTTGAGCACAGCATGGGTTATACGTCATCGTAACTTGAGAAAGAGTTCCTGTCATTTTACTATATAAGTAAGTGCTTTGCTAAAAATAAACGGAGCTGCTGCCATCTTTTCTCCCACCTTATCAATGCGTGATCAGAGTGAAAGATCAAGCTGGTCTTGATTCTTCAGGTGATTGGGAAATCCTAGGTCCTGGGTAGGCTCTGTAGCCAAGTGAACTAGTTGTGCACAACAAACTGGCGCCCAACGTGGGGCTGCACTGCTGCCGTGAAGAAGATATGGAGAGTAAGACAGCTGCATGAAACAGTCAGGACACATCTGGACCAAGAAGACGCGACACCCACCTCAAGACACCGAGGTCTGTTGGAGCCAGGCAGCCTCCTTGTGAGAGGTCTCCGAATCCCATCCTGTTGCAAGACTACGGAGTGGTAAGAGAATTTCTTACCATGAGGCAAAATCTAGGTAAACTCTCAGATGAGGAACAAAATGTTAGAGTAATATATCAAGTGATCAAGGAACAGGGGTGCTCGGTAACTCCCAAGAAAATAAGAGAGTTTCTAGACATCATTGATATAACATCTCCATGGCTTCCAAGGGAAGGGAGTTTGGATTTAGAACCATGGAAGATAGTGGGGGAACAACTGACAGAATTTTATAATACCAAAAAGGCCCGAAATCAGTTCCCCTGGGCACTTTCACTATATGTAATCTTATAAAAATGGGCTCGCAAGCTGATATACAGGGTGAGATGAGAAAATTCCCTGCCTGTACTCAGACTTCTTTGTGCTCACCTAACAATAGTAGAGCAGACTCTCCTGAGCGAGAGAACAGACCTAAGATTTATAGGTTATATCCTGACTTAGCTGAAGCTTCAAAACCCCCTCCATACTCTCCATACCCTGAGCTGTTAGATAGACTCAAGCAGCATTACGACTACAGATGGTTTTGCCTTTTATAAAAACCAAAACCTTAAGAAAGATTTTGCCTGGTTTTAGAATACCATGGAAAGAAAGATAAAATAAAATAAAAATAGTATTATTTCATTTGTGTAGGGAATTTCTGACAAGTTTCTCACTTTTGGATTCTCCCTGTCATTTTGTTCTATGTTTGTCTGTGTCTGTGTGAATGATGGTCTATGATTAATGTTTATAATTTATTTGATCTTTCACTGCCAGGCAGCCAAGGGCTGCAACTGGATTCTGAAATGCTGATAGTGACTTTCTCCCCTTCCCCCTCCCTAATACCAGCTGCATTCCTGGGAGCGTGTGGATGGGGAGAGAATGGGAGAAAAAGTACTTCATTATTTAGGTTATATAATTTGACAAAAGGCAAGAAAGTTTAAGCATACAGGAATAAAGAAAAGTATGGATAGAAAGAATAATATAATCTGTTTGCATGAATAGCAGGAATAGATGATTTGAGAGTAAAAGATTTGGAAACTTTTGGAGAAAAAATTCTCTTTCTTTTTTGCATTCTAAGGCTCTGGCCAAAGCTTTGGGTGTAAGATTGAAAGATTATGTTGAAAAATATTCTCTTCCTTTCTCTCGAATTCCAACCCTGGCCAGGTTGGGGTGGGGGAGAAAGAGGGAGAAGATAAGGAGGACGAGTTTCCTCTTCAGATCAAAAAGAAAAGTTTTTAAGTATTGGAACACAATCTAAAGATAATTTAGTTCATTCACATTAGCAATATGCATGTTTCAAGTTTTAAAAAATCTAGTCTCATTACAAATTGGTACACTTTTATGTGTTATGTCAAGCAATTTTTAATAATTTAGATGTTATTAAAATGTGAACTAAAAGAAACTGAAAGGTAGTGAGATAACTGTGTAAATTCAGCTAAATTATTTTATCAAGTCCGGTTAATCTTGTTCTATGATTTTTTATAACTGTCATTTAGAAAATCAGGTATTTCTGTCTTTACCTATGATTAAAGAACAGCTTAGAGCTAAAACAATTTAACTATCACTCAGGAAAATTACCAAATTGTTAACTAAGTTATTTGAAGTTACTGTTTTAAAGTTAAGACCTAGAATTTTTAATTACTTCTGAGAGAAAAGGAGGGGCACAAGGCAATTCCCTTAACTTTGTAAGCTTGCCAAAAGCTCCTACCAGCTGTGTGCCAAGGTCATCTGCTCTGAGAAAAGAATTTGTTTATGTTATTGAGTTCCTAAACAATTCATTTAGCTTACTGAGAAATTGCAACTTTATATAAATAATTTCTAATAATTGGCTTTCTCACCAAGACAAGTTTAAATGTGGGAAAGAAAGGATGTTAAGTAAAATTTCTTATATATGTGAGACCTAGTAAATCTTTATTGCTTATTGCATTTCTATGAAAATAATTAACTGTATCTGGCTTTAAGCCATAATCAGTGAAACTTACTGCTTGAGGTAAAAGACTCTTAGAACTATAATTAATTTTGTTTTGAGTTTGAATTTGGGTATAGTTGTCTCATTAAATCAGTATTTCCCATTTTTCCTATTGTGATCCTTTAAGGAGGAATGTTTCTTACCATGTGCTGAAATTTTGTTCATAACACTATTAAACTTGTTAGTCAGAAATATTCTCAGACAAAAATAATTTATTATATGGATGATAAACTTTGCAGTTGTCCTACTACTACCAAACTCTCCTTATTAATGCCCAAGTTTTAACAAGCCTTTCAGTCTCATAGATTTATAACCCCTGACAAGGTACAAAAGGTATTAGTCACCCTTTGCTTACTTTAGGTATATTGTTCTACAGTCTACAAGCATACCACCAAAATGTTACAAATTAATCAAGATTCCTTGATAATTTTTAATAAGTTTCATACAATTTTTATGGATATTAATTACTTTTAGCTTGTCTAATAAATCACCACTAATCAATTATTTTAAGATGAATTTAAACTACTGGGATAACAGATAGCTAAAACTCAATTCATTTCCCCTTAACATTTTACATTTACTGAGAGCTGTTATTTTCTCCCGCCCACTGTTTATGCTTTTTCTATCCATAAAACTGACAAAATACAAAATGAAATCTAATGAACTTGTTTGGGTTCCTTAAAATTCATCTGTTTTTATTATTGCAAAGTAGTCAGGAAAATTAACGATGCTTTATGACTTCCCAGCCTTTGATAGTTAGTGATTTAAAAGATTGCTTTTTTACTATTCCATTACAAAAGGCTAAAAATGATACATTACGTGGATGACATTTTATGTACTCATCCTAATCCTGAAGTGTTAGAAGAAATTCTACAAAAAACACAAGAATTGTTGCAAAGTCATGGGCTTCAAATAGCCCCAGAAAAGATTCAGAAACATCCACCATTTCAATATTTAGGCCATCAAATACTTCAAGAGAAAATAGTTTTACATCCACCAACAACAGACCTACAAAAATTAATGATTTTTAGAAAATTATAGGAGATATACAGTGGCTTCGGTCACAGGTTGGCATTCCAAATTATAAATTGATACCCTTGTATGATTGCCTTAAAGGTGATCCTCAATTAGATTCACCCGGATACTGACCCCTGAGGCAAAGCAAACATTGTTGTATATTCAGGAACAAGTAGTTGGAGCACACACAAACAGGATTGATAGGCATGAAAGTGGAAGCTTCTATATTTAACACCCCAAATTCTCCAACAGCAGTAATACATCAGAAACAAAGGCTTTTAGAATGGCTATATTTACCATCTCAGTCAAAAAACACTTTAAGTAATTACATGGTCCTGACAGGGGACTTAATACATAAAATTGATAACAGATGTTTAACATTATGTGGCATGCATCGGGAAGTCATATACCTTCCATTTTCTCAACAAATAATTGAAATGGCAATACAAACAATGCCCAACTGGCAAGTGAATATCAATTTGAAGCTTGTGTATGGAAAACCCCTTAAATATCATGTAATCTTTGAGAATTGGCCTTGGATACAACCCACACATACATCAGGTGAACCCATATACGGAATTAATGTCTTTACTGATGCCACAAAGATGAATAAGGCTTCTATCTGGTGCCCTAAAAGAAAGGAATTACAGGTGATTAATACACCTTTTACCTCCACACAACAGAATGAATTATATGCTGTCTATTGTGCCTTTCACAAATATAAGGAGCCAATGAATATCATCACAGATAGTAAATATGTAAAAGGAATCCTAAAACACCTAGAGACTGCAATAATAAAAAATACTGGTAATAATATCTGTCAGTTGCTTCATGATATACAACATTATATACAGAATAGGACAGAAAAATTTTATGTTTTGCATGTTCGGTCCCATACTCTTGCTCCAGGACCAATTTTTGAAGGTAATGATTTTGTTGATAAATCTTTAACAATGAATGTGGAAATAGCAAGGAATAGTCATAATCAATTACATTTATCTGCTAGGTCTTTAAGAACTTTATATGGCATAACAAAATCACAAGCACGTGAAATTGTTAAGCGCTGTGCTACTTGTGTGCCTTTTCAGCCCCCTTTTCATGTTGATGTACACAACCCCAAGGGACTTACACCTAACGCTTATGGCAAATGGATGTTACTCATTATTCTCCCTTTGGAAGACAAAAGTATGTTCATGTTTCTATTGATAGTTATTCAGACTTTATTTTTGCTACTGCTCAAGCGGGTGAGGCTGTCCGCTATGTTATTAATCATTTGCTTCATTGTTTTTCTTTGCTGACCCACCTCAATGCTTAAAGACTGATAATGGTCCTGCATATATTTCGCAGGGTTTTAAAAAGTTTTGTACTGAGTTCTCTATTAGTCATACTACTGGCCTTCCTTATAATCCTCGTGGTCAGGCCATAGTTGAACATGCCAATCGTACATTAAAGATGGCGCTCCAAAAACAAAAAGGGAAAGCTAAGGGATCCCCGTGGCACCAATTAAACACTGCACTCTATACTATAAATTACTTAAAATTCGACAGTTGTAACCTCTCTCCTGCAATGAAATATCTGGCAGGAAATGACAACAGTACTAGTGACACCACTAAATCAAACAGATTCCGTTTTCCTAAACACAATATGAAAGTCATGTGGAGAGACGCTGATGGTGTCTGGCAGGGCCCAGGGCAAGTGCTAACCTGGGGGCAAGGGTTTGTTCTTATTTTCACAGGTGATGGAGAACTTTGGGTCAGAACAAAGGATGTCCACATTATCCGTTCAGAAGGGACAAGGCAAGCAGAAAAGAAAACACAGACTGGCCAGGAATCGAAGGAGTCAGAAGAATAAGAGGAAGGCACTACACAAACTTGTAACCAAGCTGTGACTCTTGTCATTATCGTCGGCAGTGGTACAGAACACAGCAGCAGAGACAGGAAATACAACAACATGGACTTTTGTGACAAAATCACCATGGCTAAGACTGGCTACATGGGGAGAGACAATACCTGAGGTTATTTTACAAGGGAATGCATCTGCAGGATTGAGGAAGGAATTTCAGTTTACATCTCGAAAGAATGATGAATTCGGGAGAATATAATGTTACTTGCAATAATTGCAGTGTACCTGAATGTATAGGACCCAAGATTAGAGAATAAATTATTTTCATCATCACACAACAGAAGTTTGCTTTGGTGCCTGTGAAAAGCAAAGATTGGTATGAGTCACGTTCTGATCATATTTTTGGAATAATAGACCAAAGAAATCAATTAGCAATTGTTAGGAAGAAGAGATGTATTTCATGTGTAGTATTAGGAATTGTATCACTTATAGCTATTATAACTGCTTCTGTATCTTTATCTCAATCTATATCTAATGCAAGAAATGAAATGGTTCAAGCTGATTTTATGAATCAATCAGCTCGCAATGTATCCAAGGGTTTTCAAGCACAAAAAAGGATAGACAGTGAATTTTACCATATACTTGAGGGAATGAAGGAAACCATTATTGAAATAGGTGATGAATTGGATATTTTAGAATATAGAACATATTTGAGATGTGATTACAGGTATGAATTCATTTGCCTTACCAATGTTAAATACAATGACTCCCAATGGGAGTGGCAGAGAAGACATACACATCTGAATGGGCTATTTGGGAATTCTACTGTTGCATTGGATATTGGTGATTTATATAAAACTGCTGATGATACTGCGAGGGTGGCTGATGAAGATTTGATGCCAGATAAGACTGCCCAACATATACTTGATTGGCTAGATGAACTCCGTAACCCTTTTGATAGCCTTGGACATTGGCTTATGTCTTTATCATCTTCTTTATTGCCATTATGTTTGCTATTGCTGGCCATGCTGTGTTTTGGACCATGTTTGCTTAGGTGCATTGCTAATTGGATAAAGGACCTTGGGACTGAGCTTCATATGCTCCGTCTCCAGCAAAAACAAAAAGAGGGAGTTGTTGGGGATCTGTAAGGATGTAGAGGGCCACAGGCTGTTCATGAGGTCTCACTGATGGGTGGAGGCCCCTCTCGGGTGACTGATCTATGAGCAAAGGTCACCTGGTTTGGTGCTCCATTCTATGCATCTCTAACTTCCCTAGTTACTCATTAGTCATTAACAGTGTATTTGTGCTTGGTGGTAGGTAAGGGCACAGACTGTGCATGCACTGTCCTTGAGCACAGCATGGGCTATACGTCATTGTAACTTGAGAAAGAGTTCCTGTTATTTTACTATATAAGTAAGTGCTTTGCTAAAAATAAACGGAGCTGCTGCCATCTTTTCTCCCGCCTCATCAATGCGTGCTCAGAGTGAAAGATCAAGCTGGTCTTGATTCTTCAGGTGATTGGGAAATCCTAGGTCCTAGGTAGGCTCTGTAGCCGAGTGAACTAGTTGTGCACAACACTGGAGCAGTTTGCCATTTCCTTCTCCAGCTTATTTTACAGATGAGGAAACTGAGGCAAATAGGGTTCAATGACTTGCCCAAAGTCACACAGCTATGAAGTGTCTGAAGCTGCACTTGAACCCAGATATTCCTGACTCCAGGTCTGGTGCTCTTTCCACTACACCACTTAGGTGCCAGGGTCTTGACCACATGGACATAAGTCCAGCCTCAGTTGACCGTGCCACACTACCTCATTCTATCATGATTACTCCATTTAACATATGGGGCTAAAGTCCTCAATCCAGGCTTAGCTGATGCTTGGACTTAGTACCTATAAAAGGTTTTACCTTTCACAGCTCAGGTCCAGTAAAGGTCCTCCTTGGGGGTTGGGAGCAGTGAGCCCTGGTCACCATGGGGCTATTAAAGGCAGGATCTCTGCACATCGGAAATCCAGCTTCAGGCAGGCCAGCTGGTCTGACCTTGTGGGCCCAATGTTGAGTACTGCAATGGGTAGTTTCTTCTCATGGGCCGCAAGAATAAACTTGTAGCCCGAGTACACCTGCAGGAAAGAAGAAGACGCAGAGGGGATAGCTGATGATGATGTCATCTAGCCAGATTTATGAGAAAAGACAAACCAGGTCAATTACCTTTCAGTCAAACCCAACTGAGCATTCCCATCCAGGGGACAGACAGATCTCCCACCCACAGGACAGACAGATCCCCCTCTGACTGAACCAGGAGGAGACACAAGGTACCTGCAAGGAAGATCCTACCACCAGAAGGGCGTCGGCTTCCTTCACACGCACGTGCACGAAGTCCACCTTATCGTGGTTCACTGTGTCCCCAAAGAAAACAACATCTGGCTTCAGGGGGCCTCCACACTTGGCGCAGGATGGGACGTGGAAGCTTCGGACCTGGTCTTCTGTCAGGAAGACATCGCCATCGGGGGCCACGCCATGGGCCTCAGCTCTCCAGGTGGGGTTCAGCGTTTCAAATCGCTCCTGCAGCACCTCTCGGGGAGTCTGTTCTCCACAATGCAAGCAGAGAACCCTATATATGAGACAGAAGAAGCAAACTTGGAGACACGCCTTTGAGAAGTTCACTAACTAGACGGAAGTGTGCCTGTGGTAAATCGGGTTCTTTCTTAGAACTTTTCCTTTCCCTGGCTTCCCTGATTCTCAACTACCTGGTTCTCAAACCTTTTCAACCAGTGACTCTCCAATTCCCTGGCTAGCCCAGACTGCCTCCTGTAGCTTTACACAGATCATCTCAATTGATTCTCATGACTGAACTGTGAGTAGGTGATGGTGAAAAAAACCTATTAATACTAATATCACACTCCACAATTAGGCACCAGTCTGCCAGAAACAGCTCTGTTTAATACATCAATCTAATTCTAGCTTTGGGGGTGGTAGGGAGAGAGAGGGAAAGGAAGGAAGGAGAGGGAGAGAGACAGAGAGACAGACAGATATAGAAAGAGAGAGACCTAGAGACAAAGAAAGAGAGATTGAGAGACAGAGAGATTAAGAGAGAGGGAGAGAGATTGAGAGACATGGACAGAGAGGTTAAGAGACAGAGAAATTAAGACACAGAAAGAAAGAGGGTGAGCTAAAGCATAGTTCCCCGTGACTTCAGAGATGACTGCCGCCCCCCCCCCCAAATATTTATAGGAATCTTGAACAAGAAAAAGATATCTTAAAATACAGGGTGGGTTACTTAGCATAAAGCCATAACTGAAGAACCATATTTCTATCTTCCTTCAGGATCAATGGAATTCTTCCCTCAGGTCTTAATCTAGAACCCTTAATCCAAACTGAATAGGAGGTAGATTGAGCACCAGAGAACTTTCCAAGGTGAACCCTAGTCTAGTCCCTGCAGGAGACAGAAAAAAGAGCTCCCCCAGGTTGGATCCTTCTTTCTCTGCCCCGCCCCACCCACCCCTCAAATATGTGAGGAAGGGAAATGTTCTCATTTATACTAATGGGTGCTCTTTAAGTACCTAGTGAACACTCATGATTCCTTCATCTAATGAAAAGGCCTTTGTCCTGACCCATCCTACCCACCTTCCCAAGAGGCTTTTTCTAGGAGTCAGGAATGGGCTTTTTAGAGAAAAATATTTCATTTTCACCATCATTATCACCACCACCACCACCATCATCATCATCATTACTAGCATTAATACAGGCTGTTCCCCCAAAGTCTTAGTGCACTCCTAAATCACTTTAAACTGCACTTCTGGGACTCTCTGTATAATGTTTCAAGGTTTGCAAGGTACTTTACATGGCATACTTCCTTTGATCCTCACACCAACCCAGGGAAGTAGGTGCTAGTATTATCCCCATTTTACAAACACAGGCTGAGAACCCACATGTACAAAAATATTTATAGCAGCTCTTTTTGTGGTGGCAATGAATTGGAAATTGAGAGGATGCGCATCAATTGTGGAATGGCTGAGCAAGTTGTGGTATATGAATGTAATGGAATACGACTGTGCTATAAGAAATGATGAACAGGCTGACTTCAGAAAAACCTAGAAAGACTTGTATGGTCTAATGCTGAGTGAAGTGAGCAGAACCAGGAGAACGTTGTACACAATAACACAGCCACGTTGTGCGATGACTAGTATTGATAAATTTAACCCTTCTCAGCAACATAAGGATCTAAGACATCTCCAAAGGCCTCATGTTGGAAAATGCTATCCACATCCAAAGAAAGAACTATGGAGTTTGAACGCTGATCGAAGCAGACTCTTTGCTATTTTTTTTCTTCTGTTGAGTTTTGTTTCCTCTTTCTGGTGGTTGTTCCTATTGGTTCTAATTCTTACTTACATCACTAATGTGAAAATATGTTTAATAGGAATGTATGTGTAGAGCCCATATTAGATTGTGAGCTGTCTTGGGGAGGGTGCTGGGGAGGGAGGGAGATAAAAATTTAAAAGTCAAAAGCATATGGAAGTGATTGTCAATAAATCGAAATAAATTAATTAAAAAAAAAAACAAACAAACAGGCTGAGAGAGGTTAAGGAACTTGACCAGGGTCCCACAGTTAGTGTCAGAGAGATTAAAATGGAGATTTTTAATAGGCTTGCACAGTACCCCTGGTATGACTACCCCATTTCACAGATGAGAAAACTAAATCTGACTTGCCCATTATACAACCAGTATCAAGGGTTGGTTTGGGGGCCAAAGTGGGAATCTGTTTTGCCTGGCTGACCGTGTCTTAAAAGAATTTTGCTTTTCTTTCTTTCTTTTTCTGGGGTGTATGTGTGGAGGGGCACAGGGGAAGGTGGGATACTGATTGAATGATTTGAGCCCCAAACAAGGAACCAAAATTTTAAGTGCTTTTTGCTTGACTAGTTAACTAGATTTCATGGTCCAAGAGGGCTCACAAATAAGAAGTGGCCTCAAGTAGGCTCCCGTTAGTGATTCTCCATACCACCACAGTACCACCCCCAGGCCTACGCCCCTTCCATGCTTACCTGTGCATGCATCCGTGGAGTTCGGTCAGACGCTGACTCCCTGCCTTGGTATGCAGAGCATCCACATTTTGGGTCACCAACCAGTAGAGTTTCCCGAGCCTCTCCCAGCTGCTCAAAGCCAAATGTGCAGCATTAGGCTGGTGAGAGGAGAACTGAGGCCACCCAACAAAATTTCTTGCCCAGTACCGCTGGCGGGTTTTAGCACTTTGGACAAAATCCACGTGTTGGATAGGGCGGCGGTCTGTCCGGGCATAGAGCCCCACCTTTTCTGATCTGTAATCTGGGATGCCCGACTCGGTGGAGATCCCAGCTCCAGTCATCACCAGGAGTCTCTTGGAAAGGGAGATGAACCTCTGTAACTCCTTGACTTTCTCCTGGTCCAGGGGAGGACAAGGTGGTACAAAGGGGCCCGCTGCTGTGTGGGAGCCCCGGGGGTGAAGGATGCGAGGGCTGAAGATACACAAGGGGCTCATTCTCATTCTAGGGAAAGAGAACAGGGGACACAGTTGTTGAAATACAAGTGATTCAACTAAAGCCTCCCAAGTAGGTTCTGGAGGGTAAAATCAATGTGCCCAGGGCTGTTTGATGAGATACTGAAATCAATCACTCAATCAATCAATGAAATGGGTGGGAGAGGGCCTAAAGGTGATGAGACATTGAAATCAATCAATAAAATGGGTAAGAGGGGGCAGGAGGGAGAGAATGAAATTCAAAAAATTTTTAAAATAAATGTTAATAAATTTAACAAAGAAATCAATCAATAAACATTTATTAAGTGCCAGGCACCGTGGTAAGCCCTGTGGATACAAAGAGGCAAAAGACAGCCCCTGCCCTCAAGGAGTTTACAACGGAGGGGAGAAGGAGGGGAAGAGTGGAGAGAAATATAAAGAGAAGCTAAAACATGCTAGATGATTTGCGTGGAAGAAAAATGAAACAATATACACACAGACTACAGAAATGTCACTGGAAAGAACAGAGAGAAAAAATTGGAACCAAAAGGCCGTACCCAATGTGGCCTTGAAGCAACAGGTCCCGCCCCCCCCCCCAGCTTTACAAACTGAAAATGTTCTGAAGAAATCAGTCAGTAAGCATTTATCATGCGTCAGGCCCTGTGCTAAGCGCTGAAAGCAAGAAGAAAGGCAAAAACACAAAGACAAAAAGGAAACAGCACCTACTTTCTTTCCCAGCTCCCGTTCCCCCTCGTCCAAGGTCAGCAGAGCTGAGCCTGGGCACTTCTAATGGGCGGACATACGGAGCTTTCTATGGTCTTCTAGGCCCGAATGTGGCCAGAGCAAGGATAGGCAATTCCTCTCCTGAATCTTTTTTTAAAAGGGACTTTTTTTTTTTTAACGGTTTGGCCCATCTTGTCAAGAACACTGTTCCTTTTAAAATGCAGGACAAATAGTCACTGGAGCTGAAATTAAGGAGAGCTTTCCCTCCCTTGAGTATCTACTCTTTATCCTGTATACAGCTTCTTATGCATAGCAGTTTGCATGATGTCTCTCCAATTAGACCTCTAGCTCCTTAAGAGCAGGGACTGCCTTTTGCCTTTCATTGTGTCCCTGGCACACAGGAGGCACTTAATAAATGCTTGTTGGCTGACTACTTGACCTAATACATACATACATGCCAATATAATATTTATAATATAATATTATAATAGATAATTATGATATATACATTATAACATATAATACATGTGTGTAGATATAGGTAAAGATATAGAAGGTGTCCCAAAAGTCTTCGTGCAGTCTTAAGCTTTAATAGCATAATACTGCTCTAAGACTTTTGAGACACCCTGTATCTATTTAGCCAGGCATTCTTAAAAGTTTTGTGTGTCCTGGACCCCTTTGGAATACTGGTGACATCTATGGATACCTTGAGCATAATGGTTTTTTTCCCCTACTTAACAGTATTTTATTTTTTCCAATTACATGTAAAGATAATTTTCAACATTCACTTTTATAAGATTTTGAATTCCAAATTTTTTTCTCCTTCCCTTCCCTCCCCCCTCCCCAAGATGCCATGCAATCTGATATAAGCTCTACAAGCATAATGTTCTAAATGCATAAAACAGATACACAGAATTCCAAAGGAAACCAATTATGCTAAAATACAGTTACCAAAATATTTTAAAAAGAAACCCAGGTTTCTTTTTCCAATTTCATGGAACCCAGGTTAAGAGCTTTTCATTTAAACCTTTGAACCTATCAATAATCAAATCAGTCAACAGGCATTTACCCTAGTGTCTAGGATGTGGGCAACTCTGTGCTAAGTGCTTGGGATACAAAGTCAATTGTGAAATCATCCCTGCCTTCAAGATTACATTCCATCTATTACTCCGTATATTTTGGAGGTAACATTTTTTTTCTTGAAAAGAATGCAAAGAAAAGGACCTGTGTGTACAAAATATTTATAGCAGCTCTTTTTTTGTGGCGGCAAAGACTGGAAATTGAGGGGACGCACATGAGTTGGGGAATGGCTGAGCAAGCTGTGGTCTATGATTTTGATGGAGTACTATTGTGCTATAAGAAATGACAAAAGGGCAGCGAAGTGGTGCAGTGCATAGAGCTCCCACCTTGGAGTCAGAAGGACCTGAGTTCAAATATGGCCTCAGACACTTAACGCTTCCTAGCTGTGTGACCCTGGACAAGTCACTTAACCCTGATTGCCTCACCAAAAAGCAAAAATGAAAAAGAAAAAAGAAATGATGAGCAGGATGCTCTCAGAAAAATTGGAAAGACTCCTTAAAACTGATGCAAGTGAAGTGAGCAGAACCAAAAGAAAACTGTACATAGTGACAGCAACATTGTGTGATGATCAGCGATGAATGACTCGGCTATTCTCAGCCACAGGATGATCCAAGACAATCCCAAAGCCTCATGAAGAGAAATGCTACCCACATCCACGGAAAGAACTGGAGTCTGAATGCAGAGCAAAGCATACTTTTAAAAACTTTTAAAATTTTTTCTTGTTTTAGTGGGGGTTTTTTGTTTGTTTTTTTGGTTATGCAGTGCAGTTAAGTGACTTGCGGGGTCACACAGCTAGTAGTGTGTTTCTTTTTTCACAACATAACACAGAAATATGTTTTGTACAATTGCATGTGTATAACCTATATAAAATTACCTGCCTTCTCAATTGAGGAGGGAGAGGAAGTACGGAGGAAAAGAGTTTGGAACTCGGACAAAAATGTTAAAAATTGTTTTTACATGTAATTGAGAAAAAATAAAAATATTTCAAAAAGAAAAAAAGTGTAGAATTTGTAGTCAGTGAGTCTACCTTTGAATCCTGGCTCTGTCCACTTACTGCTTATCTGACCTTGGACCACTCACTTCCTTTCAAGCCTCCATTTCATGAGCTGGACTAGATGACCCTTCTGGCTCTAAAAGCATGATCCTATGAATCCTATGAGATAACTTCGACTAGCAGTTATTAAGCACCTACTGTGTGCCAGGCACCGTGCCAAGGGCTAGGGATAAAAGACGATAAAAGGCTGTCCCTGCCCTCCAGGAGCGCCCAATCTAAGGGCGGGAGATGACTGCAAACCACTATGGTCCAACAAGGTAGAGATTAGGCAGACTGGAGCCGGTAGGTGGGCAGAGCTCAGCCTCACGTGCTCTGATTGCCAGACCTGAGCTCAAGGTCCCAGCGGCTCCAACTTCAGGAGCAGATCACCCAACTTTGTGACATCCCCAGATCTGGAGGAGATGCAGGTCGCCCTCTGCCCCCCACCCCCCAGGCTAAACGCCTGGAGCCTCACTTGCTTAGGGGAAATCAGCATCTTTCAGAAGGCAACTGTGGCACTTTCACTCCCAATGCAACAATTACACTCACCTCTTACTGCCCCGGGATCATCCGCTCCATGGACAGGACAGTCCCAGGCTGGCTGCTCACCACCTCCTCCTGGGACTTGTAGTCCACCACGCATCCAAGAGGCGGACTGGGGCGGGAAAACTACAGTTCCCAGAAGCCATGGGGCCACCGCGCTCCATACCCCGCCTCTCTGCTACCGTAATGTTTCTAGTGTTTGCGTTTAGGTTTACAAGGTCTATGCACGCTTTGGAAGTCTCTGGTGTTCCCTGCTTGAGGGCCGTCCACATTGAGGTCTCACATCACGATACATCGTGTGACCTTTATTTAGGTCACATTTTAGGGATCACAAAGGAATTTCTTCATAACCCTTGGTAGTGCAACTTATGTTGTATTATATTACACCATATTATATTGTACTGTGTTGTGCTGTGTTGTACTGTATCCTAATAGTATTAAATTATGTTGGATCTAATTATATTGAATTGTATTATATTGTATCACATTGTATTGAATTCTGTTCAATCTAATTATATTGAATTATATTATACTATATCATATCGTATACTATACCATGTTATGTCATATCATAATATACTATACTATATTACATTACATTGTATTATATTATATTAATATTATATTATGGGGAACTGCTGTTCTTTAGGGTCAGTCTAGCAATCAAATCATATCAGATGTCAAAACAGTGGATACAGTGTTGGGTCTAGAGTCAGGAAGTCCCGAGTTCAAATGTGAACTCATACTTACTAGCTGTGTGACTCTGGGCAGATCAGGTAACCCTGACTGCCTCAGTTTCCTCATCTGTAAAAGGAGGATAATAATATAGCACCTACCTCCCAGGGTTACTCTTTTGATCCTCATAACCAGGTGTTGTTACCATTCCCATTTTACAAATGAGGAAACTGAGGTTCTGATCCTCAAGTTGGGAAGTATGGAGCAAAGTAATTACTGTCTCTATTTGACACTGTTATAGTGCTTCTTTCAGGTTTGTAAACTGCTTTCCTCATAGTAACCATATAAAATAAATATCATTATTCCTACTTACAGATTGCTGAAATTAAGGTAAATCCTTTCAGGTTTTCAGAGCCCTCTATACAAATGTCACCTCATTCGAGCCTTAAAATAGCCCTAAGGGGTAGAAATACAAGTGTTACATATTATCCCTATTTTCCAGATAAGGAAACTGAGGCTCAAAGCAGTTATGAAACGGTCACATGACCATTAAGGATCTGAGGCAGGATCTGAACTCAGCTCTCCTGACTCCAGGGCCAGTGTTCTGATTACACATTATACTACTGCTTCTAATGCCAAAAATTACTAAAATTTTACTATGCAGCTGCATTGTACCGAGTGATCCAAAAGTTTTAAGGCAGTTTTAAGTTCTTAAAGCCCAAATTTGTACTAAAACTTCTAGACCACCACCTGATTGTCCCTAAGATTGTGGAACAGCGGTATAGTGGAAAGAGTGGGAGTCGAGACCTGGGTTCAAATCCCAGCTCCCATACTTTCTCGCTGTGTCACCTAAACCTGCCTGGGCCTCAGTTTCCTCATGCGTAAAAGGAGGGGTTGAGTTCAGTGACCTCTCTAAGGCTCCCTCCAACTCTAGAATCAGGACCGGCAAAATGGGGAGAAAACTCAACTAGATGCAACTGCAGGGTCCAGCCAAAAGTGCCCTCCCTTTGCCTTTTCTTCTCTGGCAGCCAATAGCCACCTCTCCCTTGAGCCCCTCCTCTGAGCTTCCAATGGGCCCATTTCCCCGAGTGCCTTCTCTCTAGAAATTTGATTAGCATGCTACCTCCCCCATAAGGCTTTGCTTCACTATCACAAGGTTTTAATAAAAACTTAAAAGAGTGTAAATGTCAACAGTAGTTTCCAGCTTTCGGTGAAAACGATGGGAGTTGGATGAATTTTGAGATGAAATAATTTATTTGGGAGTGTATTTTCCAAAGAATAAAATCAGCCTACATTGTACAGTTATCGATGTTTTAGTGGGCACGGGTTCGAGAAAGGTTTTGTTAGCTTTGCGCAGTGGCAGTATCGTAGCCAATGAGGTTTAACCGAGGCGCGATTATTGCTAATTGAAAACTTTTCCCAATACCCCGTCATGACGACTTGAAATATAGTCGGCATTGGCAATTTTTGACAGTCTCTACGGAGACTGAATTTTTGTGTTCAGAAAAACAGTCATTTGGAGTGTTTAAAAGTATAACATTACCAGCTTGGAGCGTGAAAAGGTAATTTTAATTCAAGGCAATGCGTCTTGGGGGGGGGTGTGTAATTAGAGTGGATGTACCTTTAATTTCGAAGGGGGAGGGGAAGCCACAAAAAGTGGCTTTTACCAGGGTATGCTGACCATTATGGATAGTTATTTAAAACATCACAGATTTTTTGAAGGGACCCCGAACTTTGATGGGAAACCAGCATTTCTTTCAATCACGATGCTGAGGTCCTTGAGGTTTCACCAGACAAAAAAGACGTGGGGGTGGGGGGAATAAACTTCACTTTCTTTCAAAGTCACAACTTCTGTGATTCTGTGAATGCGTTCTTTGCAACACTTGAACAAATTCTGAGCATCTTGAAAAACCCCGCCTCATTTTGGGGTAAGTGGGAAGGAATAAAGTTGCTTCGCTTCTTTTTCATGGGTTTTGGGGGACTGGGACTATTTGTGGAATGGAGGAAAGGCTTCGATTGCTGGGGCAAGATGAAAGTAAATTTCTTTCAGCTCAGGGAAGGGCGGAAGGAAGTCAGACTGACAAGTAAGGAGAGCTCTTACCCAGGATGTTTGCTTATCATTCCCCACCTCCACTCTCCGCTCTCTGCAATGGGTAGACTTTCTCATATCCTCTCTGCCCCCTGAATCCTACTAGATAATTGCAGTTTATTCTCCCATGCCCTTCTTCAGTCACTCCTAAACGTCCTCGTCTCTATCTCTCCACTGGACCCAGAGGGCTCCGGAGGAGTAAGGAGGGAGACTTTGCACAGCCCTCCTTCACACTTGCATGTCGCGCCCTCACCTGCCTGATAGCATGGTACTCTTCGGGAACGGACAAACAACTCCAAAACATCCTCCATCTGCCGTAACTACCGCGCACTTACTTCCTGCCCAGCAGCCAACTCAACGCTCAACTCTCCGCACGAGTTAAGTAAGCCTTCTAAACTCAAGCGGCGCGGGCAGATCTATAGCGTCACCCTCATTTGCATAGGAATCCCCAGAATCCTCGGCGCCTGTTTTCCCGGTTTTCCCTGAAATTCTATTTTCAAACGTCCATGTGCAAGTGACCAGAAAGTCCCTGAACCTGTAGGGCTAAAGTTCGGCTGGACCAAAAAGAAAGAGCCGGTGGGAGTCACTTAATATCAGTCCGCTTCTTACCCTCGCTGTAAAGATAGTCTCCAGCCGTGGGGGACTGGAGCCCAGGCCGTGTCTTGTCAGCTTTGCGCAGTGGCAGTATCGTAGCCAATGAGGTTTATCCGAGGCGCGATTATTGCTAATTGAAAACTTTTCCCAATACCCCGCCATGACGACTTGAAATATAGTCGGCATTGGCAATTTTTGACAGTCTCTACGGAGACTGAGTTCTTTTCGTTATTAAAAAAAGATGAAAGCGTGATCTATGTTTCTTGGGGATCGTTTTTTGTAACATAAAGCAAAATTTGAGTTCCGTTTTTGGAGCAACAAAATAGGAAAAAGAGTGAGTGAAGTGATTTTGTGTGGTGGAAAAGCTGCTGACTGTGATGTGATATTCTTTTATTGTGGGTGGGTTTCGGGCGCCACCTTCTGGCGGCCACAATTGTGCGGTCTTTGTACAGCAGAAGGCGTTGGGACCGTTTGGAAAGAGGAAGTACCCGAGAAGTCAGAAAAGTCTTGGCTTCAAATACAGATTTTTAAAGGCTGGTTACCTGGGTCACCTTGGATGAGTCCCGGCCCTGAGCCTTTGTTTCCTCAACTGCAAAAGGGAGTGGGAATCAGACATCGGAGATTTCTAGATGAACCGTGTGTGTCCCAATCTGGAAGTTTCCCAATTCAGGCTGAAGGCAAACCTCAGAGTCCGCTCTATCCAATTAGCTGCTTTTTTTCTCCCACCCAACAGGACCATCTGGAGAGCATTCTGTCCAATCCCTTCAATTTCACAGAGGAGGAAACTGACAAAGCACAAGAGCTTTTGGAATCATTCGTTTAATGCCAACCTGGAGGATTCCCGGAGTCCCTGGCCCTCATCCCTCTCCGTGCCCCCCTGCTGTGTTTCTTAAGGGAATAACAAGACTTACAGAATTAGGTACCGTTTATAAGTGACTGGGGTGGGGGAGGGAGGTCCCGACAGGTAAACCGCTCCTTCCTCCATTAACAAGGAGTGAGAGTTCTTGAATGAATCAATCCACATTTATTTAGCATCTATTAAGTTCGTCACAAAGACATAAATGAACTAATTCTTGACCTCAAGAATTCTGTCTCATCTGGAGAAGCACTATATATTTGTATAGGTATATATGAGATACCTACCAAGAAAATGGAAGAGAGGAAGACTAGTTCTGGGGAGACAGGAAAGGCTTCCTTCAGAAGTGAGTGTTGGAGTGTTTGATAAGGAGGAGATGCATTCCAGAAATGGGGGCGGGGTGGGGTATGCCTACTGGTCCACAAAAGCAGAGTGTGGAGTTGTCCAGGTTCTTATCGTCCCATTGATCTGACCTTTGTTCTGACTCAAGGTAGCTTTGGAACTGCAGCAAGGGCAGACCTGGGTGATAACATCTCACTGTTGATAGGATCGATCAATCCACATGCATTTATTTTTTAATTTAATTTTTTTAATGAACAAAAAATGTTTTCTCTCCACCTCTGTTGAAACAATAGTTTTCTAACTATAGAGAAAACTATAACTGAGCAAAACAAATTCCTACATTGTTCACATCTAGAAAAATAAATCTCATTTTAAGCACAGAGTCAATCATCTACCTCTGTGTCCAGGTAACATGACTCATCATGGGTCTTCTGGATTTATGGTTGCTTATTTGCTGAACAGAGTTCTTACAGTTTTTATTAAGCACTTACTGTATGTCAGGCACTGTGCTAGGTATTAGGGATATGAGACAGTCTTTGACTTCTACTGAGCTAACATTTAACCGGGGGAGGCGGGATACAACTTGTAGACAGATAAGTAAATACAGCTTCCCCCGTGCCCCTCCCCTCCAAAAAATGCACGAGATTTTGTTGTTCAGTTGTTTTAGTTGTGTCTGACTCTTTTTGACCCCATTTTTGGCAAAGAATACTGGAGTAGTGTGCCATTTCCTTTTCTAGCTCATTTTGCAGAGAGGAAACTGAGGCAAATAGGGTTAAATGATTGCTCAAAATCACACAATTAGTAAGTGTCTGAGGCTGGATTTAAACTCAGGAAGATGAGTCTTAAGGAAGACACTAATACCTGGATTGTCTGAGCATTAAAGGGAGTTAGGAATTTCAAAAGGCAGAAAAAAAGAGGGAGAGTATTCCAAGCATGGGGGCCACCCTGTGCAAAGGTAGAAATCTCAAGTATGGGGAAGAGCAAACAGACTGGTTTGACCGGGATATCAGAGTTAGTGGCTGTAGTGATCAGGCAGCTTGGAAAGAAAGGTGAGGGTCAGATTGTGAAGAAATTTGTATTTTAACCTAAGGGCCATCCATGGCAGCCACTGAAACTTCTAGGAGAGTGTAACCATGAACAAGTCAGATTTGTGCTTTAGGACCATCATTCTGACGGTCTGGAAGAGGAAAGATTGAGGAAATGCATGAATGAATGAATTTTTAAAAGCATGTATTTGTATAACCTATGTCAAATTGCTTGCCTTCCCAATGGTGGGGAGGGAGAGAATTTGGAAGTCAAAGTTTGAAAAAAAAAGTTGTTAAAATTGTTTTTACATGTAATTGAAAAAATTTTTAAAAATTAAATTAGAAAAAAGCATGTGTTACATGTCTATTGTGTGCTAAGTGCTGGAGGTACAAATACAAAAGTGAGATCATCTCTGCCTTCAAAAGGCTTATAAAATTTTTAAGGGGAGAAACAGCACATATAAGTAATGGTGGTGGTCCCTTAAAGTAATTTAGGTCTGGAGAGTTGCAGGGCTTCAGAATACGGGATATAGGGCAGTTTCTAGTAGGAACCATCTTGTTCATTTAAATATTGCCTCTAGAACAGCAGGAGAAAAGGGTTGGGGGAGACAGGGAAGGGCATGGTGTGTGGGGGCAGGGCAGGTGGTCAGAGGCCTGGTAGGAACCAATTTTTCCTGGTGGGCAATTGGGCGAGATACGCCCCTGGCGGTTAGGTATAGGTAGTGAGCTAGGTGAGTTTGCACCCTCACTCACCATCCCCCTGGACCACGTAGAAGGCTGTTGCAATTGTCCAGATCAAGCCCAGGTGGACAAGGAGTGAGTAGATTGAAGGGGGAGGGGTGAGAAAGATGTTGAGATCCATAGATTGGTTGCAGGAAGGACGATTAGAAGTCACCTTGTCCAGCCCCCACATTTTACAGAGGAGGACATCGAGGCTTAGGAAGGAAATTATCATTGCTTACATTAGTAAACAGCAGAATGGGGCTCAACTTTAGAGATCTGCTTCCCAGGAGTTCCCTGCCCTTCCTCTCCCCCATCCTTGTCCCCATCCCTTGTGGGCACAACCCGGACTAGGAGAAGCAGGAGACAGTCTGATTTTTTTTTTGGGTTTTTTTTTTTTAGGCAATTGGGGTTAAGTGACTTGCCCAGGGTCACACAGCTAGTAAGTGTCAAGTGTTTGGTCTGAGGTCGGATTTGAACTCAGGTCCTCCTGACTTCAGGGCCGGCTGCCCCGAGACAGTCTGAAGTATAAGTAGGCCCTCCCTTGGGAACTCGGGACACACCTGTGGGCAGAGTCCCCTGCGCCCTCAGCACCAAAGGAAAGTCAGTCAGCCAAAAGCATTTATTAAGCATGGTTCATGTAGCCGGCACTGGGTATAAAAGGGCACATGACGATCCCTGCCCTCCTGGAGCTTGCATTTATCCTGCTGTGTCCATAGAAGACGGGCCGCATCGGTGGAAAGCAGCCCCAGAGGTTTGGGCTGGAATCGGCCGAGCCCCTGAGATCCTCCCCCTTTCCTTCCAGCTCCTCCTGGTACTTGTGGGTTGGGGCCCCAGAGAGCGGCTGCCTCCTCTGCTTCAGGGGGCCAGGCTCACACTGCAGAGCTGCTCAGAACCTCCACTCCCTCACAATGACCGCCCCAAGCCTTTTAAGAGGCCACCAGGGTTGTGATCAATCATCGCCCGGTGTTGGCTGTTCCCACATTTCAGTCATGACCCCATCCAGGGTTTTCTTGGCAAAAATACTGCAGCGGTTTGCTGTTTCCTTCTCCAGCTCATTTTACAGATGAGGACACTGAGGTAAACAGGGTGAAGTGACTTGCCTAGGGTCACACAGCCAGGAAGTATCTGAGGCTGGATTTGAACTCAGGTCTTCAGATGAGGAAACTGAGGCAGACAGAAGTTAAGTGACTTGCCCAGGGTCACATAGCTAGGAAGTATCTGAAGTTGGATTTGAACTCAGGTCTTCCTAATGCCAGGCCCAATGCTCTAGCCACTGGGCAACCTGGTTGCCCCTCTAAACTTGCTCTTTCCTCTCCCTTCCTTGCATCCCCAGAGTTACCAACTCATGCTCTTTTTATGACCAGAGCCTCTTATCTGTCCCCTTCTCTGCAGCCACAGCCTCGGCTCTGGTCCAGGCCCTGTATTACCTCAATTGCCTCCTGCTTGGTCTCCCTGACACCAGTCTCCCTTCTGCAAATCAGTCCTTTCCTCAACTCCCCCACGTGACTTTCCTTGACCCTGTCACTCCAGCGGCTCCCTATGGACCCCAGGATCAAATGAAAGCACTTTTGTTTGGCATCTAAAGCTCTTACACCCTAAAGGGGGGAGACAGTTGGGGTAGGGCGAGTAGCAAGGGTACAAGGCCCCGGGCATGGTGGAAAAGCCTGAAGAGTCAGGAGCAGAGCCTGCAGAGATGGGGGCATGGATGCATCGCTTGGGCACTGCCCGACGTGGCGGCCCCCCTTCTTGGGAGCCTTCAAGCAAACGGCTGGACGGCTCTTTGTCACATACATCACAGAGGAGGCATCTTTTTTCAGGTTGGATTGGGTGGCCACTGAGTTCCTTCCAGCTTGGATACTCTGTAATCTCACTAGCTGTGTGACCATGAACAAATCATTTTAAATTCTGAACCTCAATTTACTTATCTGTAAAGTGGGATTAATTATTATACCAGGAGACCCTTCCTCACCGGGTTATAATGAAGAGCTCAAATGAAACCATGTGGGGAAAGGGATAGACGGTAGATGATGTATTCCTGTCTTAGGTAAGGTCTACCTCTTAATTCCAGGTTGTACTAGGAAGGTCCGTTGTCACAGTGGGAAGACAACTGGATTTGGAGTAACAGGACCTGCATTCAAATCTTGCCTTTTCCTGTGAGATGGGCACATCATTTAACCTTTATGGGCCTTGGTTTCCTCATCTGTAAAATCAATCTAGAATCCTATCCACTAGGCCACATTGTCTCCAATCAAGAAATTGGGGGGGGAACCCCAAAACCGGCAACAACAATCCAAAGTTCTCTCCCCTGTGTTCTGTATACTTGGAAGTTTCTCTGCTGCTACCCTGTGACTTTTACTAATGGTCTTGGTTCTACAGTCTGAGACCAAGCAGAAAATGTCTCCGAGAGAAACAGGGAAAATAATGATCATAAATAGCTAGCCTATGTATCTAGTGCCTACTACGTGCTAGGCACTGGGAAATACAAATATCAGCAAAAAAAAAAAGTGTTCCTATGCCCAAAAGGCTATAAAACCGTGCATGCCCTTTGACCCAGCAACAGCACTTCTAGGGCTGTATCCCAAAGAGATCGTAAAAACCCACATATACAAAAATATTTATAGCAGCTCTTTTTGTGGTGGCAAAGAACTGGAAATTAACCTTACCAGCTGTGTGACCCTGGAAAAGTCACTTGACCCCAATTGCCTAAAAAAAAAAGAAAAAAGAAAAAAAGTATTGGAAATTGAAGGCCATCAACTGGGGAATGGCTGAACAAGTTGTGGTATACAAATGTAATGGAATACTATTGTTCCATAAGAAACAATGAACAGGTGGACTTCAGAAAAACTTGGAAAGACTTGTATAGACTGATGCTGGGTGAAGTAAGCAGAACCAGAAGAACACTGTACACAGTAACAGTCATGTTGTGTGATGACTAACTTTGACAGAATTAGCCCTTCTCAGTAATGCAAGGAT